CACAAGAGTGTATAGACAGACATTGCTTTCGTTATTACAAAAAAAACTTCTTTCTCAAAATGTACCAATCAATTTGGCGCTTCACAAAGTAGAAAATTGGGCTCGATTTGAATGGAGCGGGGAATGGCAATTACCGATTATAGGCTGTAACTTGAATAAGTCAATGGGCAATTTGTCATTGATTTTCCATCGATTTCTCTAAAAAGCTGACAGTTTAATGATCGAAAGTGTCATCTTTCGAAGTAATCTTCGATCGGAGGTTGAATTTTCCAAGGGCAGACGAATTTGTGATTTCCTATTTATCATTTATCTTTTGTTCCTTTTTTATTTCCTCTCTTTTCTTCAATGTTGTCCCTGTTAACATCCAACCTTTATATGAACTTCTTTTCTTCTTCTTATTCTTCTCTTCCTCTCTCTCTCTCTCTCTCTCTCTTTCTCTCTCTTTCTCTCCCTTTCTCTCTCTCTCTCTCTCTCTCTCCCTCTCTCTCTCAGTCTCTCTCTGTGTCCCATCTGCTCTTTACTTGTTCTTGATGTGGAATTTATAGCAAGTCTAACATACTTGAATCTACGCTTTTTAATATATTTTAATTTAAGGCTACAAACGGCTCTCCATAATGTTTAAATCCAACTTAAGTTCGACTTAGGCCCTCCAGGGCGATTAATTCTTCTCTGTAAATAGTTGCGTATCTAGGGGGATTCCAAAAGGCAGGGGGGGGGGGGGGTAGAAAGAAAAGGAGAGGGGAAAGTCAAAGTGAAAAGAAGGTGATACAACCCCCTCCCACGCCCCGGGTGCTTTTTCACCTTGTTCCCTCGCATTCCACCCACCGGTACACCCCCTACCCCTCCCCCAATGACTACACCCATGCTATGCCACCGTATGTAAAAGATACTGGTACTAGTAATACCAATCACGTATACGTTCATAGACTCGGGGTATGTTTCATCATACCACATTCAATTCAATTCAATTCATTTACTTTTCCTCTTTCAATTTATCAAATTTACAATGTTTGCACATTTCTACATATTCACATATTAATATACACTGTCGCTCATAAAGGTGGAATATTTTAGTTTTACCCCAATTTATGGAATTATTTTAAAAATTATTTAAAAATAATAGATATAGATAATAGTATACATTCTCAGATTTTATTGAATAATAACTTGCCAATGTGTGTTTTGCGGAACTGCTAAAGCATGTGTATGCTACTATGCTTATTAACTAGGGGACCTACGCTCTCACGTCATGAATGACAGTAATGAGGATTAATGCCCCACAAAAGGGCATTAATAAAGCACATCGACACGGTTTTCATCCTGGGGCCTCACAGTTACGAGGCCATTGTTTTGTCACTGAACCATGACGGTACGCAGCGGGGGCTAGGGTAGGGGGCAGTTTCCAAAAATATAAAAAACCCAGAAAATGCAATAAATTTTCAATAATTTATTGCATTTTACCCCGGTCCCCAACATAAAATAATCCTCTGGACGGCTATGCATTATGGCTCAAGGCATGTGCACACAGAATTTTTTTTATGTTAGGCACCGGGGTTAAATGCAATAAATTATTGAAAATTTATTGCATTTTCTGTTTTGTTTTTTTAATTTATGGAAACTGCCCCCTACCCTAGCCCCGCTGCGTACAATCATGGTTCAGTGACAAAGCAATGGCCTCGTAACTGTGAGGCCCCAGGATCAAAACCGTGTCGATGTGCCATATTAGTGCCCTTTTGTGGGGCGTTAATCCTCATTACTGTCATTTATGACTTAAGTGCATAGGTCCCCTAGTTGATAAGCATAGTAGCATACACATGCTTTAGCAGTCACGCGAAACACACATTGGCAAATTATTATTCAATAAAATCTAAGAATGTATACTATTATCTAGATCTGTTATTTTAAAATTATTTTTAAAATAATTCCATAAATTGGAATAAAAAAAATATTCCACCTTTATGAGCGACAGTGTACATATAGATCAATTTGCACAATACAATACATTTGAGAAGAACAAAATGAAATTGAATGGAAAGGAGGGCCGACTAAAAGGCAAAGCTTGTAGGATGTACAGGCCCGCCGTTAAAAGGGATTATTATGAAATATTATTTCATGAGAAAAAACAACAATAACTATAACTGTTTCAGTAATACAAAAATCATTTTTAAAAACAAAATAATGATAAATACATAGGCCTACATAAAAATGAACAATCAAAATTTCACAAACGTCAAATTCATTTAACATTACATTTATTCATTTATCATCACACTTATTCATTTATTCATTTATCATTACAATTAATCATTTATCATCACATTTATCTATTCATTTATTCATTTATCATCAAATTTATTCATTTATCATTACATCTAATCATTTATCATCAAATTTATCTATTCATTTATTCATTTATCATCACATTTATTCATTTATTCATTTATCATCACAAATATTCATTTATTCATTTATCATCACATTTATTCATTTATTCATTCATCAACAAATTTATTCATTTATTATCACATTTATTCATTTATTCATTTATCCACTTATTCATTATCGCCACATTTATTCATTTTATTAATTTACCATCACAATTATTCTTTTATTCATGTATTCATCGCATAGGAGGATGTGTTCCATCGTTGGCAGGACAGATGGAACGCATCAAGGTGAAGGCCAACAAGATGAAAGATTTCTGAAACAAAGGCATGCCTCTCGACTCGCATTGAATCATGATTGTGCGACCCTGGAATGCAAAATATGGTCAATAAACGTGACAAAGGGAGGGATCTGGAGAGGGAGGGAGAGAGAGTGGGGGCGTACAGAGAGATGAGAAGGAAATAGAGAGAATGAGAGAGAGAGGGAGAAAGAGTGTGTGTGAGAGAGAAAGGGGGCGTTATTGTTATATTGTTTTTTTGTTATAAATATTCTGGGTCAAATGAATAACCATAACGTGTTCAACATATTAAGTATTCAAAATAACTTCTTCTTTTCTCTCCGTTGATTTAAAACTTTGAGTTTAATTAATCATCCACGAAGTATATGACTTGGGAGCCGCATGAATCTACATCACCCTAATATCACTATAATGCATGTAATGATATATATACTTTCATCATGTCCACAATCTGTATAAAAGTCATGATAATTCTTTTGGAATAATCATAATACACTTTAATGTCAAATTTATGAAGAAAATACAAGTAAACTATGATTTTCTTCACTTATCGCCTTCTAAAATTAGTCTGCTATTACACAAAGTTGCAATGTCATAATATTAATTCTTTTGGAATAATCATAATACACTATGTTAGTGTTATTTTTATGAAGAAAATATAAGTAAACTATGAATATCTTCACTTATCGCCTTCTAAATAAGTCTAAATAAGTCTGCTATTACATAAAGTTACGATGTCCAAAAACCAAAGATTATTAAAAAAAATTTAATGAATTTAAATCAATGCCCTTTTATCGCCCTTGGCCTACAAACAAATACTTATTTGTTTGTTTTTTGCTTTGCTTTTTCTTTTCGTAATCAATAAAATATGATATAATAAATAACACGTTGTATAATAATTTGGAAATACAAATATATAGTGCCGCTCCATTTCAGCTGAATCAGAAAAATGCAAAGTATTCTTTCAACTGTTTCATGGGCCTTTCCTTGCATGCGTTCATATCCGGCTGTGTGTGTTTACGTTATTTTGTTTGTTGGCATATCAAGCATTTTTTTCTTTGTTGTTACTCATGGAATTGAACTCTAAAAAAATGCTTTTCATGGACTTCACAAAGCAAGGGACAAAACCAGGTTTTCCCCTAAATTTTAAATATGGGTGAGGTCATTCATATGTGGGTTGGATCATGGTTCGATCAACGGTCTACCTTGAAGAAAAACAAAGAGAGAGAGAGAGAGAGAGAGGGGCAGAGAGAGAGAGAGAGAGATAGAATGAAAGAGAGAGAAGGACAGAGATAGATAGATAGATAGATATATTGATTGATTGATTTTATTCGCCAGGCTTCCAACATACAATATAAAAGAATAACAGATCAAAATTAAATCAGCTTGAAAATAAACAGAGAGAGGGAGAGAGAGAGAGAGAAGAGAGAGAGAGAGAAATAGAGAGAGAGAGAGAGAGAGAGAGAGAGAGAGAGAGAAAAAAAAATAGGAAAAAGCTCTCGATCATGATCATGTTGCTGTTTGTTATGGCAAAGCCGGCCACTTTGTCCTTGAGAGCTCGGTTCATTTTACTTTTTTGTGTGGGGTTAAGCGAGGTTATTTCGGGTGTATTCAGACGAGTATGAAGCGTTCAAGGCCAGTCCCTTGAGCCGAATACGGATCAGAAAGCGGCACTTTTTGGACGCTGCACTGAACTTTAATTTAGTCATCCTAACCGTTTACCCCTCCCCCCTTCTCTCTCTCTCTCTCTCTCTCTCCATCCCTTTGTCTATTTTTCTCTTCTTATTCACGATTTATCATTTCTGTTTTCCTTCATCTCCTTCTCGGTCTCTTGACTTTGTCCCTGTCCCCTCTCTTTATCTATCCGAACGCCTCCCCGGATTCACTCTCTCCTTCCTTCTGTAACTTTCGTGCCCCCCCCCCCCCATCTCTCTCCACCTTTTTATTTCCCCCTCCATTCTCCTCTTCGCCAATTAGGTGTCACATCAACTAAAAATCGATTTTCGATTTTGAAATTGATCCAATCAATTTTGATATCAATTCTAAGGATTGGTGAAATCCCGACCTTTTTCTTTTCTCTAACTCTGTTTCTGTCTCTCAACTTTGTCTCTATTCGCGCCTCTATTTCTATATCCTCTCTCAAATACATCATCTCTCAAACTTGTGTCTGTATCCACTATTTGCCTGATACCTTCCTTCAACATTTCTCGCTCTTTTTACTGCCCACTCGGCCCCTTTCTTTCTCTCTCTCTCTCTCTCTCTCTCTCTCTCTCTCTATGTAACAATTTCCCCTCTTTCTACCTGTCTCTCTTGAGTATATTCTTTATCTTCTTCTTTTCATAAAACTTTTTTATTGAATTATTCTCAGGTACATGTGGAAGCAATTACTTACTTTATCGACTACATTGAAATGTAAACAAATAAATTACCACAAACCATTCAATGCTCAAAACGATTTAAACAGAAGTATTATACGCCTAAGATTCATGGAAAACGCTACATATCAACAATGGACGACAATGTGGTGGGTTTGGGACTTTGTGTAATGGCCCTTACAGTATTTACTGACTTATTTAAAAATCAGGACTTTTAAAAAAAAAAACCCATGTCGTATGCAAGTCGGTTCTAGGTGGTATGCTCTCTTGGTCGATAATTTGAAATATTTCCCATACTGCTGCTTCTATATGTATATACAAGTATTTTGTAAGACAAACAAATATGTGTAATCTTTTTTTAAGGCTCATAATTATTAGATATGATCATAGCTCTCATATCCACCACGCAAGTCAAGGAGCTCCAATATCACCCTGGCTTGTACTTCAGCTCTTTCATTTGATGGATACGCCACTGTCTCCCTAAAAAAATACTTCAGGGATTAGATCGCATTTGCATAATTTAAACTTTTCGTTCAAAGAGAAGGTTCAGTTTGGGGAAAGCAAAAACAAAATTGTGAGATTTTCATTCTAATTTAAAGGCTACAGAAGAAAGGTGCCCACAATTATACAATTTCCACACAACTGCGCCAGGAGTATCATGTTTGACAGACATGGCGCATTATAAATGTTCACTATTATTATTATTATCAAGTGTGGAAGAGCATCATAGAATGTCGATGTTCCCTGAGAGGATTGTTGTTCAAATGCCTCTATATTCGAAATAGGATAAGAAAATAGTTAAAGTGTTAGGACTAAACTTTTATGCCACATGTTTGTGTAGTCCCATATACACATTTTGATGTGAACCATATGACTGTAACAATGTGGGTTTTGTTTTCTTCTTCATTTTGGTGATTTTAAAACCTCACAGAATACATCAATTCTGATGTGCAACAAAATCACCCGGAAGGGTATCACTTCCAGACAGTTTCAGACAGTAAAAACCTAGCAGTCTTATGTGCAGTCTGACACGATCACAGATTCTGAGGAATGTCCAGTTCCTCCTGGTTCATTGACAATGGAGGATTGGTCACAGAAGGTTTGGGCTGTTCCCATGGAGCCGGTGGGTACTTTAGCTCGTGGGCCGGTCGCTCTGTGGCCAAAGGAACGCTTCTGCTTGAGCAAGGTAGAAAAGAACGGTCGTCTCACAATTCCAGAACTCTCGTTTGGTCCTTGACCGCCACTGTTCCCCAGTCCTTCACCAATACTGTTCCCCAGTCCTTGGTCGCCACTGTTCCCCATTGCAGACAATGCTTCAGGATTGTTTTCTTGCTTCCTGCTGCTGTCGAGTCCTGGCAGGTCCGTCGGATCTTCTTCTGTAGCCGTTGATGGCGTCCTATCTTCAGACACATTTGAGTTCTCTGAATTCCTAATCATCATTATTTCCTGTTCGTCTTGCTGAACATTGTCGAGTCCTGGCCGTGCCTCCAGACCCTTGTCTAAATCGAAAGGTGATCTGTGGTCTCCGGGATATCCTAGGTCCTCTGAGTTCCCAATCACTAAATCTTCCGCTACGTCTTGGCACACCACACCTAGAGGTGCCATTGGACCTTCTTCTGTAGCCAGAGATGATCGCTGATCTTCAAGGGGAACTGCAAGGGCCTCTGCATTCCTAATCGCCAAGGGTTCCTGATCATCTTGGCACACGCTGTCAATTCCCGGAAGTACCAGCAGACTTTCTCTTGTTTCCAAAGGTGGTCTCTGATCTCCCATAATTTCAGGGATCATTGAATTCCTCATCGCCAAGGAATGCCGATGGTCTTGGCGTTGCCTCCTGATGATCCTCCGCATGTTGGTGGGTCCTGGAAGAGCCATTACACCTTCATCTGTCGCCTGGGGCAGGGTGGCCATCAGGATCTGCTGGGGACTCTCGTCTGTTGAGACTGCCCTTCTCTTCATCGCAGCCTTTAGTTTGTAAGCGTCGGCTTTACCATGGTCGGGAGGATGGTTGTGTTCTGTCTTGTCTCGGAATTCGTCGGCACCTAACACCTGTATGTATGAAACAAAATACAATATGATTGCGTGTCTTGAGCACCAAAGAATGTAGTTTCCAGGACTTTCTTTCGAAAACTACAATCAGGACTACCATGCTTGGAAAACTATGAGCAGGATTTCATTCTACCCAATGAACTGCCACTACCTGGATGACCTCAATAGGACCATGGACTATATGACCATCGGGAGAACAATCCTATGTGACCACAATGTGTTATAATTATAATGTGCCGTACAGTGTGAACATTGATTAGTAAACACTTAACACAGTGAGAGTGTTCAAAATCTACTCATTATTGTCTTAATGTGGAACGTACACGCTGTGATAACGAAATAAGAGGATCGCATATGGACATTGTGGTGTTCACACAGTTATATTTAGGTGTAATAATGTAGGCGATAGGAGTGAGGAAATATATTGGCACTGTCACCACTAAGGAAGTGTTCTTATCCACTAATGCCTAAAGTTCCACTTTGATGCGTACACTGTGTGAATATGTAAATGATCACAGTGAGGGGACAATGTGAACACACCATTTTCACCTCCCCCTAAAAAAAAACACCTATGAAGGTGTTATAAATATTCTCTGTGTTCAAACTGTTCATATCCACACAAAAAAAGTCTATAAAGAATAGCTCCACCGGTACATACACTGTTTGATTATGTAGACCACGGGTCAGAGTGTAAGGACAGTGTGGACACACCGCTTTCACACAGTCAACACTTTGAAAGTGTTCAAAATCAATTCCATCTGTGCTCACAGTGTGAATATGTAAGTGATCAAGTTAAGGATACAGTGTGGAGTCACACAGCAGAACTACTATATAACTATTTTATAACTATATTTTGGCTAACTAACCACGTTGAGCAATACATGTACTCTGATATAAATAATACTGCTACCCGCAAGGATAGAGAGAGAAAGATATTACGTACATAAAACAAATAACAATCGATGATTCAAAGTACAAACACTAGTCGGAATTACCTTGACCCTGGCCTTGCACTCGTTACGATTTCTTCTTAATTCACACTCGAAGCTCTCCCATCCATTAGCCAGGTCCTTCTTCCTCACGTAAATGAACCCATCAAGCAACAGCTTCAGTCCTCCCCTTTCAGTATCTATCCACTCCATCGTCCCTCAAAGATGTCAACAAGAAACAACAGCCGACCACATAAGCATGAACCTACTACGAAGTATGTACAATGAGGAGTATCTTAGATAGTGGGACGCTCTACTACACAGCGCACGTGTCTAGCGTTGTCCGTATCAGTACTGTATACGACCACTCATATCAACAACAAACTAGACGGCAATGCAGTAGTACTCTCCTCAACTACTCACAAACTCTACGCTAGATCCTTCCTCATCTGAAGTAAGCACCAACAGTAGACCGATTTAAAGATAAGACATGTCTACTCTGCATTAAGTCACTGAACTCACACTGTCACCGTATGGAAGCATGTATATATTTAAACTCGAACGCTAAACAAGTGATGGCATCCAGTCCAAGCGCTGTGACTCTAGTGGGAAAACTGCTACATGTACATAACAGGCAGCTACGTGTAATACTGGAGAATAGAGATCACAGGTCATGTAGGCAAGTCTTCTTTCAATGGTATCAACGCGCGTGACTGTAGTGTTCTACTGATCTACCTCTGCGTCTAGCGAGTGCAAGCATGAGGGTTTACACCACCGTAAATACATGTGTACATGACTTGTATCAGACAAATGGCATTTCAAAAGAAAAAGGCCAGAATATATAATGCTCCCCGTGTGGTGATTGTGCGGCGAGCTCTGTTGCCCGGGGGGTGATTGTGCGCGGGTGGTAATTTGAATGGGGGGTAATTATCCAGGGGCCAGTCGTCCGGGGGGTAGTCGCCGGAACCCCGGGATCCGAAGGTCTTTCAGATTGAGGTCGTTGTCCTGGAATAACAAGGGAGGGGGGGGGGGGGGGGGGCAATTATCCCAGAATAACGTAGTCTATCATTTCAGAACCTTCCAATTTTTTCGTTTGTGTTTGAAGTCTATGTATGCGCTCATTATTTCTATCTTCTAAAACAAATGTCAAAAAATGAAAGTTGTGAAAAAGGTTATGTGTAGTATCTTTAAAGGATACCTTAAAGTTCTCTAAATGTTTAAGTTTTCTTTATACGACTATCGTGTAAACAAATTGGAATAATGATTTAAATACAAGGCCTATTTTCATTTCATCAATTCAATCTTTCTTATTTTTAAATACAACTCCCATGCCTCTCTCTCCCACGTCCCACTCTCTGCCTTTCCCTCTCTATTCGTCTCTCTCTCTCTCTCTTTCTCCCGTCCCCCTCTCTTTGTTTCTCCCTTCTATCTATCCTTCCCCTCTCTTTTCTTTCCCCCTCTTCCACCTTTCTTGTTTATTTTCATGCTTGATTTTCCGAATATACTGGGATCTACATAATACAAACTTTGCTTTTAGTAAATCCCCCCACTTTATTTAACTTTTTCAATGTATTTATCATACGTATGATTGTATCTTTTGTTATAAATATTACCATGTATATTAAGTTTCTATATTGTATGTTTAGTTATGATTATGACCATGTTCATTATGTTCAATTATGTTATCTTCAATAAAGTGGAAATAAATAAACTTGGAACTTGAAACTTTGTGTGCTTTCAAAATGCTTTAAATATTATTACACTGGCATAAGGCACACGCTGAAGCCTTCATTGACGAACAGTGCATTTGGGGATAAGATCCTTAATTCCAGACACTAAATCAACTCCTGGGTTGCGAGAGAAATAAATACTATGAAAATGCCTCGTCTACGGACATATGGCAGAGGATCGAACCCTCAACCTCACGAATGAAAATTGACACCACAACAAGCCACTTCTTGGATGGACATCTGCGCATGAGCAGATCAAAATCATTTGTACCAAATTGTATAATTCGTTGAGACGAATATTCATGTTTTCATGAATCTTATGTTCTAGTGAAATTCATGTTTTCATTATCCATTTATCCATCAACGGCGCATCACATGACAAGGGGAAACAAAAATGTACACAAAAAGTACCTTCATTTCTTCGGGAGTGATTTTTCAAAAATGCACAATATGGGTTGATATTTCGGGGTCATGTGTACCAGACGAAAACAAAAAACCATTATATTTGACGACTGTCTCGAACATTCAAGGACGACGTCATTGATAAGGCAAAATTCTGACAAATCGAACAATGTGTATGAGGACCAGAATAAGGGTATTGAATTGTTACATCTACCCCTCCCTGATCTACCCAGTACTTATGTATGGTAGTGAAACATGGACTTTAGCCTCTGATACTAAAAAGCGTTTGGAAAGTTGCGATATGATTGTGGTTTCTAAGAAGAATGATGAAAATCCCCTGGACTGACAAAGTTAGTAATGAGGAAGTTCTTACACGAGTTGGAGTGCAAAGGAAGATGATACGTGAGATGTTGATTAGGCAGTTGAAGTTTATGGGTCACATTACGCGTAAAGAAGGCCTAGAGAATCTTGCTTTGACAGGGAAAATTGTGGGAAGAAGGAGTAGGGGAAGGAGGATACTTTGGATGGACAGTCTGCAGAAATTGTTGGAAGAGAGAGGAGTGAAAGAACTGGGAGTGGTACTAATACAGAAGGCTAGGAGCCGAGGGTTGTGGAACAGCATGATCGCTAAAGTCAAACGATATGGCACTTAGAGAGAGAGAGAGAGAGTAATTGATTTTGTAACGTCAACGAAAAAAATAAAAAATAAAATGAGTCACAAAGAAAAATTCCCAGTCATTGCTTTATGTTCATGGTCATGAAATGCATGATTGCATGGTTTCCCCGACTCTATCAAATTTCAACAATTAATTTTCATGCTAGTGATTTTGATAATGATTTGAATAAACATTATCAACGGATGTTCTGTCATTTTCAAGGTCGATGTCATGGACGTCTGGAGGGCTACGAACTGTTTGACATACCTTCGTGTGAATTTAAAATATTGATTATGAATATATAATTATATTTAAAACATGTAAAACACTGGAATGAAAGAGTCTGTCGACACGGTCGTGTAAAGGTGAAAAGATGTTTTTCCAATAGGGCTTCTTCAAGATGTCATAACTTTCAGCTTTACACGTGTCAAGGGAGGCTTTAGTAACTCTATGGTTCTAGTCGGTGAAATGACATTTGTATGATATGTGTTAGATTTTATTTGACTCTACCGACCCCCTTCAAGGGTATGAGAGCACAATGTATTTACAAAACAATACAAAAAGATATATAATATAGATATATTGACTGCTATGAGAGGCATCGCTGTTTCTATAGGCTCAAGGGGACGATACATCCTGATGTGACCAATAGGCGCGCCGGGGCACGTAATTTTTGTTCCCACTTGAGCTCGGGATCCCCAGTATGAACTCATTCGCATACAGCCAATCAGAGCTCATCTTGTCAATAACAAGCTTTACGCGTGCTAAAGATGCGCGGCGAAATTCAAAAATGTGCGAAGCTCTGTGCTTCACACACGTACACACAGCACTTTGTCTATATCAGCGTGCATGGTGTGCGTGCATAGGCATAGGCTTGCAAATGTTTCATTTCAGTTCTAACATCTCTACCTTTAGCAAATTTATTACAGATATATCAGCTTATCAAATTGCTGTGAAAAACTGTTATTTAGCTCTTAGTTGCAATTACTCTATCAATCAAGGATAGGCCTTATCGTCACGGTCATCGAAGCCACTATATATAGGGACTCATTTCTAAAGATTTTATGGTTGAAACATTTATTATAGATCTACACCTCTAAAAGACTCTAATAATATCAGCTTAAGAAATTGCTGTGATGTTCTCAGGTAAGAATTCCTGCAATAAAAGAAGTAACAAAATAAAGCTGATATTATTAGAGCCTTTTAGAGGTGTTTTAGTCTAGATCTATAAACTCTCAACCGTATAATCTTTAGAAATGAGTCCCTATAATATATAGTGGCTTCGAGGACGAGAAAGACATATCCTTGATTGCTAGAGTAATTTAAATTTATATCAAGCGCTAAGTAATAACTTTACACGGCAATTTCATAAGCTGATATTATATTAGAGCCTTTTAGAGGTATAAAGATCTATGATAAATTCCCAACCGTAAAATCTTTAGAAATGAGTCCTTATAATATACAGGGTGAGTCAGAAAGAATGTCCCACTTTTTAAAAGTTGTATTGTTAGAAGTATGAATATTTAATTAGGGATTTAATGATATGTCTTGATAGAATTATCCTCCCAATACATTTAGGTACCATTTTCATTTGAATCCGTTCACGCATGACTGAACATCAGACAATCTTTACAAGACTGCCATATTTCACTTGCGCCAACTTACTTGGTGATGAATAAAACAGTGCATTAAACAAAGACAGGCAGACAGACGCACACACGCACAAACACACACACACTCACACGCCTACGCACAAACACACAAAAAAGTGTCCTCTTACCCCCCCCCCCCCCCCCCCCCCCCCATATGGAAACGTTGTATCATCCGCTCAATCTGACTTGCGTGCATAGAACAAATAAGCATTTTTCCATAAAAAAGTGAAGTTTTCTAAAAATGCGAGTATCTTTCCAGCATTGGGGCGCCCGGAAGTCACTCGGGTAACATTTCATAAAGTATAATATAAAAAGACCATATGCAAATTTTCTGTACTTTCGTCGGAAAAAATACATTTATCCAGCACAATGTCGTCTCTTTTTGCGTTGAAGAATAACAAATAACGAGTTTCAATCACACTTTGGCCGCTCTCGCAAGCTCTCACTCGTTTCACTGTGGTCAAGCGACTTTGGGGCAAGCGGTTAATGAAAATACTAATCGTTAGCTTTCTTCTGGTATCAAACTTGTTTTGATTGATTGTATAATTATGTCGGAATAAAGGAAACAAAAAGGCTTGACCAATAACTTATCAGGGTCTGAATTGACCTTTTGACCTTGAATTCCCTGATACAAGCGCACTAATGAGGTCATCTTCGCTAAATCGGTGTCTTTTATCGTAAAATGCGACACTTTCACAATGTTTATACATCTTTTTTAAATATTAGTAAGATATAACATATTTGTTCTGATATCACTGAAGTTTTGGGTTTTATTTAATGAGTAATTTTTAAATAAGAGCCATTTTACTGTTTTAATTTACTGGATCGTACCATTAAAGTCGCAGGGTAAAAAGATGCATTTCCAACTGCGCCAAATTTAATTTACGTTCCGACATTCTGTTAAATGGGTTCGTGTTGTTAAAAATCCACTGCTTTCTGCTCCAACAAACGTTCACATGCGGAGTCGTTTATCAACTAAATTATACAAATTTATGGATGTTTCCTAGCTTCCCAGGTGTTTTTGTTGCTGTTGAAGCATTTTATTCACCTGCTATCATTCTTTGTACTCCAATTGCCAGAACGCAAATTTCATTTTGGTTTTATCGGAGTCGTTTATCAACTATATGTATTCAAATTTATGAATGCTTCCTCTCCAGGTGTTTGTGATGTTTAATGCATTTCATTCACCTGTTATTATTCTTTGTACTCCAATTGTTAGAATACAAAATGCATTTTGGTTTTATAGTTTCACGCAATAATTAAGTCAATAAAAGACTATTTTCTGCACAATAAAAACAATGTGTGTCCCTATTGTACAATGTAATGTGTCCCCTCATTTTGTAATAGTTAATTTACCCTTTTACATAATGGAACTACCTGCCCGATGAAGCCAGTGGCCTGTGACCCCTGAGCACTCAACACCGTGTGGGAGTCAGTTTGTGGTCTAATTCTTTTATGAGACAAATACAAGCAAA